GTTAGGGCGGCTAGGAGCTGGAACCAACTTCCAAGGGAAGTGGTGCTGGCCCCTACCCTGGGGGTCTTTAAGAAGAGGCTGGATGCCTACCTGGCTGGACTCATTTGAGTCCCGTTTCTCTTTTTGGGGTTTTTTGTTGTTCTCCTGCCCTGGTGGGGGGTCGGGCTAGAAGATCTACTAGGTCCCTTCCGACCCTTAATCTATGAATCTATGAATCTATGAATTTTGAATGGAAACCATTTTATAGAAGTATCTCACTTGACTGATTCTGGCCTAGGACAAGTTGCGAAGTTTTGATGTAACAAGTAGTCCTTTTATTTTAATGCCATATTTGTTGTTCCGTGCTAAAATAAATCCTCTGTTAAAATTTATGACTAGAATAGATCATGTTCAGAGAGTTGCCTTGGCTAAGACCTGCAGCCAAGGGTAACTGATTTCTCCATGGCAGTTTGTTGGCTTTTCCTCATGGCAAAGTCTACCTTCCTTGAGAGCTGCTGGGGGGCGGGTGGCCTTGTATGATCATTTCTACTTTGAATGCATCTCTCTCATACCAGTTTTTCCTGGGAAGGTCCAACCAGTCTCCCTGCTGTATGACATAGACACCTTGCAGAGCTGGTTTCATGGTTCATTGTGAAGAAAACCAATGATATATTTGGCCCTGTTTTCTGTCTGCAAAGCATTTTGTGATCTGACCCTGGCTTCTACCAGCTGGAGGATGGAAGGTGGGTTGGTAAAGTTTCACTAGATAGACTGTTGGCTGGTCATAGTTGGTGCAAAGTGTAGGATCCCCTACCCAAGGCCATGCCTCTATGGGGTTCAGGGGCGTGATTGTGGTTTGTTTGGGCACATCCATGCTAGCCTTAATCCAGTTAACTCAGCTGTGAGGCTGCAGCACATAGACTTCCATTTGAGATGAGCACCCAGGGTTCCAGTTGAGCTCATACAACCAGCTCTGAAACCTTTGGTACTATAGCTTCACAGGCCAGATACACCTGTGTGTGCTATATTTGCATCTTTTATTGCAGTGCATGCACAGTCTGTGTTACACAGAACTGTTTCCATACGCTGGTTTGATGACAGAATTTTTAA